CCGCAGTGTGCAAGACGAACACAGGAAAAAATGAATGAATTGGGGTGGGAGGTACTGCCATACTCACCCACCATACTCGGCCGATATCGCAGCATTGGATTTCCATTTATTCGGATCCCTACGACATTTTCTTAGTGGCAAAAAATTTGAAAATTTGGATGATATCGGAAATGTCCTCTCGAGATATTTTACTCAAAAACCAATTGATTTTTATCGGTCCGAGATTGAAAATCTGCACATTAGATGGCAAAAGATTGTTGATAACGAGGGTGATTATATTATTTGATTAAAATAAAACTTGTTAAAAATGTATTCGTTTGAATTTAATGTAAGAAAGCGACACTACTTTCCGGTCCTCCTATTATATAGTTTTCACTCGGACGCCAAGAAATCTCTAGTACTTTCCACTTCTTGAAATTATTGGAAGACATACGAGAGCCGGATATTACATATAGGGATCAGTTACATTTATTCACTCAGAATATAAATTACAGTTACACAGGGACCGAACCAAAATGCTTCCAAGTTTGGCCACTTTTGCCGATTCCACCAAACTTGGCAACAAAAATTAGTTGCCAAAACCTTCGCCATCTTAGTGATATCTTGCCACTCCAACAATTTACTCAATTTAGCCATTTACTCAATGTTAAATATACTTGCCCCCGTGTTCTTAATTTTACGAAAAACCTCCGCTTCTTTAGATTTTCATGTTACATTACTATACCAAAACAATATTACAATTTCATGTACTATTTCACTAAAATTAATTATATACGTACAAAATTCGTAACAATATATATTCGTTTTTACTTCAACTTTCATGTAGTATTGATATAATAATAATAATAATAATAATATATAATCATAAAAGTAACAAATTAATAATAAGAAGAATATACGAGGTTAAATTCATTGATAAATAAATATTGGAATAGAACTGCAATCAGCTGTTGAATAACGAATCAATTCGATTTCCAGTTCCCGCGTTTACTCGATTTTTCCAGATTTCTAGCGATTAAATTGGGATATATTGGTTGCCTTATTAGTGCCAAACCTTTTTTGCAGCCTCTGGTGCTTATTTCTGGTTCCTGTTTCAGTAAACGTGTTATAAAGCTAAATGTGCTAAATAATGCTAAATTTGCTGAAACGGAAACTAAAATGTGATGTTTGAGAGGAGAGAATTGATAAATGTAGTGTTAGCTATAGATTCAAAATGTAAATATAAAATATTTAATATTTTACTTGCGAAATTTTTTTTAAAAGTAAATTGAGAACTTGGATCATCACAGAAATACGGGAATGCAAAATGGAAACCAACTTCTTAGATATCAGTTCATTTCACAAGAAATTAACTGATGGCTGTAAAATAGCCATACTTATATTCTTTATGTATATCGATTCAAAATGGCATAATTAACTTTAATAAAATTTAAAATAATTCGAAGATCTGCTTCTTTTATTATAAATCCTTCTTGGTATAACGAAGTTTGAATATCAGGGCCCCTAGGCATGATACCTCTAGACACTTGTAGAACACGATGAAAGTTCCTAAATAGATTCTCGCAAGAAACTGAGTCAGAAGTTCTAAGTTCGATAACAGAAGATGAATAAATTGTCCAACATCATGATTATCTCACACAAAAGTTTTTGAAAAGTAGAGTCACTAGAACCGTGAGAATGTCATAACGTGCATGAAGTTGTAAGGACTAGTACACAAGAACTAGCAAAGTGCGGACAAAATGATGTCTAATCTATCCAAATACAGGTACGTAACAAAACGCAAGCATACATTATACTCGTAATACATTTAAACTGTAAAAAAAAATATTAACTGACATCATTGAACAAATCTCGGACGTTACGAGCGATGAACAATTTATCTACGAATTATCCGATGCCTGGAATTCAGGAATTTCGTCAGTAATTTTCCTAAGAGTATTCGGTGCATATATACCATTTAACATTTTGCTTAATTCCTTGAATGGACATCTTTAAGGAGGTTAAATATTTCCCCCTGTTTTATTAGAAAAACATTTTTATTTCCTCTTAAATTGTTTCGTTTGGCAATGTAGCCTAATGAAACTTTCTACCTCTTTCCCGCATGCATTTGTGGTGTTACTGGAAGCACGCTCGACGCGTATCCGAGAGGTTCGAAGTTCAAATCCCGGTGAAGGCATTGCGGATTTCTTCAGTTCTTGATTTTTGCAAATTCTTAAAGATTCTACAAGTGGCGCCCAAGCTAAAAAAAAGTAGTGGGTGACAGTTCGTCACCACCATGATTTAGTGAATTGGTTCCCTCATTCCCAATCGCCCTTTAAAAGGGAAGGTATATAAAGAGGTTATCACACTTGATTACAGTCCCTGCTAGACGGGACTTTTCTGAGAAATGAGATTCTGATAGCACTGGTTTAAACGGAAGTAAATCTAGAAAAAAGAGCCCCGCCTCAAGCGAAGTTACGCCTAGCTAAGGAAACCATGTTACAGCTACGCGGGATTTTTTTCAAACCTCACTGAAAATGTCTCGGCTGGACCTCGGACCCGGGTAGACAACCAATCAGACGAAAGTTCTGCTTCTGAAGCATCACGTGATCCCAATCTGAACGATAACCAATTAGTGTTTGGCGTTCAAGTCTTTGTAGTAAGTGAATGGTAACCTAGCTACGTGGGTTTCCTGGAATTGTGCGGGTTCTGAGAATTGTCCCTTTCGACATCAAGTCCCGCGTAGCCGAAGAATAATGTGATTGAGGTTTAAAATATTTCTCTCTCCCATCTGCAAGTCTTCGTAGTGTAACTGGAAGCACGCTCGACACATGTCCAGAAGTCCCAGAGTTCGAATTCCGATGAGGGCATTGCATATTATTCATGTTTTTGCATCGATATAACCTAACGACTTTCTTTGCAAACTAATGGACTTCATATTCGTTTCGTTGCTTTAATATCTAATGATGAGTTTGTTTAATTGATTAAATGGCGCTATCTAAGAGAAGAAGCCTTCCTAGAATACATTTAAGGTGTTTAATCTCGTATTTTCGTTCCCATAGATAAAATTACAAAAACCCCATGCATCTAGCTCATTTACTGGAATTAAAACTCGCTCAGAATTGTCTTATTATCTTGGCAACAGTCGATAATCAACGAAATCTTCAATTCAAATATTTTTATTGAAAAAAAAAAGAAAAAAAAAAAGAAAGAAAAGAAAGAAAAAGAAATTTCCGAATTCATAACATAAAGTGTGATCAGACCATGTTCTTATATGACAAATTATTCATTTTTATGAAATTTGTAAGGTTATTATTTAAATAAACCACTTATATTTTTAGCCTTTACTGTAAATTATTATATATTTTTAGCCTTTACTGTAACTTGTCATTTCAGAAGGTAAATAAATGTAGCTATGGCTTTAAGCTGAGGTTTTTGGAGTTTAAAACTGTGTTTCCGGATGCCCGTGCATACTACATTTAATTCTTGCCAGCTCTAGCTTAGATCATGTTTAGGTTGTACAGTCTTTGACTACTATTCTACGTTTAAAACTGAATCTGACTATTTTGTTTAGCTAAACGAGCTGTGGTTAATATTGTTAGCACAAGAACTTGCATTTATGATTTAAATTTTATCTAAATAAAAAGGTTTATTTAAACATTTCCCTGACTTCATAGTTAGTTTCAAAGATAGCGATAATTCGCTTCATGTCTGTCAGATGTTTTAAACTCATTACTCGGTCCATATCAAGCAAAAACCCATGCATTTTAAAATTCCTATTAATTTTTGGAGTAGCCCGTACGTTATAATTCAAATTACAATAACCAAACATGCTTTAGTTTATCATAAGAAAGCTATGTTTGTATGAGACATAGCATTATATATTACTTCGTTACTATGTGAATAATGTTTCACTGTTACAGTTACAATATTTAATCCTTGGTAATTCTATAAATTTATTTAATACTTTATATTTCGTATGGAAATAGCTTCCTATCCTCTCCTGCTTATACGAAAAATTAGTATATAAGGAAACAAGTGAGTTCAGTATAATTTTATGTACCTACATACCTCCACTTATATATTATGTAAGAAGAAACAACATTAAAATAATCTTAGAAAAGTTGCTAAGCTAACTAAAAGTTACCATCAAAAAGCTAAGCTATCATGAAAAATTGAAATAAACAGATAAAAGTATTTTAAAGAACAGTCTATGAAAATGTTTGAAACAAAAAACGTTGTACTTGCAAATCGTTTATACCAATATATTTTAAGAATTAGATTTAAAAAATGTGAGTCCATGCCCTTTTACAGGAATATTACAAATTTTACGAATTTCATGTTTTTATAAATTTCTGTTATTGAGTATAAAGTTTTCAGTATTGTAAATTTTTATCATGTAGTTTTCCAGCATCATTCATAAGATTATTCATCATTCATAAATTACTGATTTAAAGATAGTAATTTTAATAACAAAATTACGCACTTATATAACGCAGAAAGTGGCGGGTTTTGTTTTCCATTTACATACACGTTTCGAGAATATTTAGGCTAATGTTCCTTATAAAATATTTAAGAACAGCCTGCCTTTAGAATTTTTGATAGACAGACTCGCACGCTGGAGATAGAAATGTTTTATCTCCGTACAGCGTTTCCATTGCTCGCTTTGAAATCATTGAGTTTGTTAATCAAAAATTCGTTAAAGTTTTGCAAAATTTTAAATGTTAAAGTTTTGTAAAATATTTAAAAACAGCATATCTTTAGAATTCCAATAGATAGTCTCACGCGCTGGAGATAAAAATATTTTTTCCAGTACACAGCTTTGCCATTGCTCGCTTTGAAATCATTGAGTTTGTTAATCAAAAATTGATTAAAGTTTTACAAAATATGAAATATACATTAAAACAAATTCGAAATTTAAAATTCGGGCTTCCAAGTGTCCATATTCAGGTGTAGACTACATTATTCAAAATTTGATGATTCTAGGTGCCCCTGTTTTTTCACAATGCGAAAAACATGAATACATTCATACAAATTCTTTATTATTTAATTTATTTAAGTTTGATACAGGACAACAAAGCCGCTTTTCAGAAGTTTGCACTTCTAAACGAATTTACGAATGTAGAAAGATTCCCAACACTCTTGGCTGATTGAATGTCTTGCAGTGGATTCCTGCTCATTGTGGCATAGGGAGAAATGAAAGAGCCGATTTCCTAGCAAAGAAAAGAAAGACTATTTAAAAAAACACTTCTTTCTTTTCGCCATCGATGGAACAGCTGGCCCACTGGGTTAGGTGCTTCTCAGCCTAATTTAATTCTGAAAGATAATTTTTAATTAAATTAGAATTTGAGAGGAAGTTTGCCTCCTGCCTATCAAAAGAAGCTAAGGGAAAGGACTGGGAGTGTCTCACTAGTTCAAAGCCAGTTATTCCAGATTTTCCTCGTCTTGTAGCCGTGGCGTTATTTCGTCTTTTGACTGAGTACGATTGTTTCAATGCCTATCTTTTTAAATTCGATTTAAGGACTCTTCAGTCCACACCCTTTGTAACTCGACGGTTCATGCATAAGAGCATATTGACGAATGCACTGCACTATTATCTTTTAACTTTATTATTCTTAAGTATTGGAAAGCAAGATCAAGACTAATGGCTCAGTGGCCAAATGTCTGGCATTTGTATAAATAAATAAATATTTAATACAGGATAATAGTATTTGGTGGCAAAAATTTGAAAAATGATTCAAACTTTTATAGTGATTCAACGCAAAATCCCGTTTTGAGACTAGTAGCCTTTCTAGGTTAACGCTCCTTTGGGTTAAAACTATGTTTTTGCGATTACTGATTATGTTATTTCTGTGCTATTTAAAGTTAAACGAAATCTTTTGAAATTAAATGTATAAAATTGCTATACACATAATGCATTAAAATATAATATTGTTACAAAAATTATGTGTATAAAAATAAGATTATTTCATTCTTTTTCCAAAAACTATAATCTAATTTAATAAATCAGAAAACAGTAGACTGCCCTTGCAGTCAAAACCCGAAATAAAAAAAAAATTTTAAAAAATCACTTTTGTACGTAAAGTTATCACTTTTGTACTTAAAGCTATATTAATACGCTACTATATTATAATGTTGCTGTGTAAATATATTTTAATAGGATTACAGGTAATTAGTACAATCTTTAATTAACGAAAATTATGATGATGACTTATTTGAAAGAAAAAGTGCTATTCGACAGAAATACTATGGACTACTCCATATAAATTAAAACTTATTTTATAACAGGTTCAAAGACATAACAAAAAGAAATGTAAATAATGCCTCTAATAGTAAAATGCTTATCAAAATTGATTTATTATATCGTTTATGTGGAAGAAAGAAACAGCAAAGATCTTCCTTTTTCGTGTCTTAATTTAAAACCATTCATTCAAATTGGCCTCTAGCATACTTTTAGGATTTCATCTTTTGAGCTCACTCCTACACAGAATTCTACCCATTTTTAATAAAAGTTTTCTATAATATTCAGAAAAAGAGAAAATAAAAATAACTACTTACATGTTTCTTCTTTTGCGTTCATCGCATAAAGATCTAAAAAATGCCACCACTATTTAAGGGAAGAGGTTTCTTTACATTTTGATCTAAAAAATTATTCTTATCATTGAAATAATGATAAAAAGGGCAAAAAATTCTTTCTAAAATAATAATTCGTCTTTAAACGACATGTTATTTAACCATTTCTTTATCCAAGGCCGGTTCTTCAGAAATCCACTTGTTGCCGTTTCGTTTTCCTTTAGATAAGAATTGCTGTTTATACCAAATTAATCTCTTTTTGGAAGAGGAAATTTTATTTCACTTTAGATTAAATGTTCGCTTTAGATTAAATTAATTGTATTGCAAATAAAGTAAGATACTATATTTATCATAGATCTTAAGCCCAAAAAAATGAATAGATGCCTTTTTGAGTGGTTAAATTTGTCTTTATGAATAACTGGATACTTTCATCTATTTCGCACAGATAGCCTTCAGTCTTCATATGTCGTCAACCTATCTTTGGAAGCCAGAATCGAAAGTTTTTTTTTTTTTTTGTTGTGTTGTTGTTTTTTTGGTTTATTTAATTATGTCAAAGCACGCTAGGGCTACCTGCCTAAGGGAAGAGATGTCTTGGCGGAGGACTTTCTATGAGAAACTGGTTCATATACATGTTACACATGGAGAAAAACACGAAAACGACCATGCAGCCAGCCCATTCGCCTGGAATCGAACTCTATCGGAACTAACAGTTTTCAGCGACTTTACCTCTCCGCCGCTCGTGGACCCTGCCACTATTTAAGAGTTGTTACAAATGGGGGCCTAATATTTGTACAAGCCGGCATTCAATATATTGCATTAAGGTTTGTACTTTTCAAGTTCTCACCATCACCAGAAACTACAATGAATTTTACTTCCTTGTACGAAGTAAAGGAAGTATTATAATCGCCAAAAATTTCGGGTATCATATTTCAACGGAAGTTCGGGTTAAGGTTTTTATGCCTTTAGTTTATCTGCGTGCAATAGTTGTTGAATTATTAATTTTAACAATTTAAAAGTTGTTTAAGTACGGCTAAGCGTAACGGAGCAGCCATAATTGTTTACATTTGAAACTTAGCAGAATAGTGGATTAAATCAGTTTCTGAACCTCCAATGTACTTTTGTCGAGTGGGACCAAAAGTAAATTTTCAGTTTTGTGTACCAAAAAGATCTACCTTCTTGCCCGCTAGCCGAATTGTTTGTTTTTGCGTAGAATTAAAAAAAAAAAAAAAAAAAAAAAAAAAATTACAATTAATTTTAATTGTAAAATTATTTTAAATTGTTTTGTGTGAATTTGATATGTTATGTTTTTTCCATATTTGTCAATTTGTAATGAAGGTATTTTGAGTTTTTATGCATTTTGCCTTGCCATGAACTGAGAATTACTTAATTACTTAAATGAGAAATATATGTCCAATTAAATTCGAGGAAAAAAGCGTAAATGAAATGCAGCAAAATATGCTGTATAATTTAATAAGTCATGGTGTATCTTTTAATATCATCAGCCACATTATTTGTAGAGGTATTTTTGTGTCAGCGGCTCAGTTTTAACGAACCAACACATATATGTCCACGATATACACCACCAGCAAATAACATAGAAAGTGGCAACACATTTTGTAATTAGATAAGACCATACAATAATTTCAGTTATTTTAAGCAATTATATAAAATTATCTTATTAATTCTAGTACGAAACGATTAAGGATTTTAAAATTTGAAAAACGAATAAAATATAATCTTTCTGGAATTTAAGGTCAGTAGGATTTTAAAATTAGAAAACGAATGCATTATGCAGTCGTTATACTATCGAAGATCGTAATATAATGCATATACGAGGGCATTTCGAAAAGTAAAGATACAATGGCTCGCATTCCTTAAAAAAACATTTATTTAGAAAACGTCAGTTACATCTTATTAACTGGATTATTTATTATTTTCGACATAATCACCCCCCCCGTTATCCAAAACATTGTTAAGTCGGTGCACAAGCTTTGTATCCCACAGTCATAGAAGGTTGCCGCCTGTTGGAACCCAGCGCGCACACAATTTCCTGTACCCTAACTTGACAGTCACAACTTCATAAAGAGTTGTCATTGACACTTCCTGTATGATCTGATGCAATTCTTTCAATTTGAGACGTCTATTCGCACGAATTGCTTCCTCTGTTTTCTGAAGAAGGGCATCAGAGATCACATATGGCTGACCTGTTCTTTGTTCGTCATGAACATCGGTCCTACCTTCAGAGAAATGAAGACACCATTTCGTTACATTTTGACGATTCATAATGTTCCCATAAACAGAAACAATTTCTTTGTGAATATCCGCTGGTCGCTGACCTTTTGCATGAAGAAAACGTATGACGGAGCGCACTTCGCATTTGGCGGGATTCTGAATCGGCGCAGCCATTTTAAACACGACCTACTCCAACCAGAATCAACGTTGAAATGCCGAACGACTTCGAGGAGAAAGCTAACGATTCAAGGTTAACACCTGTGTTGCCAACTTACTCACCAAAACTTTTCTTTTCCTCTGGCGTACGGTGTATCTTTACTTTTCGAAATGCCCTCGTATTTAAGACATGGCTTTTAGTCAAAAGAGAGAGTTAAAGAGGGATTTCTCGTTGCCTTACCACGCGCACGCTTTTCAGTCAGTTCATATCTGCCTTTAAGGCCAGAACCTCTTTGATACTTGAAGACGTACTGTAGTTTCCGGCATTTTGCTCACTACATACATAGAGTTAAAAAGGCCAATCGTCGCGTTACTAGTCTTTGTAAAGTATCTGAGTTTAGTTCTTACTTAATTTAGTTTCTTCTCGTATTTTAAGTTTCAGACCATTAGTGTTGGTCTTGAAATAAGTGTTGGTCTATATATATTAACTTACTTAACTGAAAAGTCGGAAACATCAGAATACAGAAAGGCTGTCGGTTGGCAGTTATTGATTGTACCCAACGGTGGGAAATTTTTCACCTTCCCCTAATAACGGGCCTGGTCTTACAAGCATTTTACATTGACAAAGCCACAACCTATTCATTCTGCCTTTTTCTTTCAATAGCAGTCGGCACATGATCTCGGTCCATACTTTTACGTCTCTAAAACTATAAGCAACGTATTTGCACTTGAAGCATATTGAAATGCATTCGCGGCCCACATAAAACTGCATCGGAGACGCATTTGGTCCTCATGCAGCGAATTTGAGACCAATGGCCTAATCTATGTTCAAATGATTAGAACTAAGGAAAGATAAAAAGACGAATTTTCTTAGAAATACGAATAATTGACAGTTTTATACAGTTTGCAAAATTGAAGCAATACTATGCAACTATATATATTAATTCCTCATTGTAATCTGCTTCACGAAGATTTTCAATATTTATTAGTTCACTACAAAATGTTTTTATTTCTCTTATATAAAATACATTTTCTTTATACCAAGTAAACTCAAAATTTATAGACAAAATTAAGTATGAGAATAAGTAAATTTAAAATGACATCATTTGTAAAAAGGAACAATATTCTAAATGAAGTTCTTTAAATTCTTGGGTCTAATTTTTATGGTAGAATATTTCATTCCTACATAGGACTGCCACTTGTGCCAATACATGCTCTTTTTATCATCAACTCCAGGCATGTACAAGCCATTCAGATTAACAGAGGTACATCCGTTGTACCACCAAGCGCTTTTCCTTGTCATTGAACAATGTTCTGAAACATCTTCATCAGTTTTTCTATCTTTCGTAGAGAAAGGGCGACCATCGATATCTGTCATCCCATTCCTGAAAAAAAAAATTAATAAATAAATAAAATAAAATAAAAAAATAAAAATAAATAAAAAATCTGAAATGTTTCAGATTTTAAATTACGTCCAAAGGGGCGTTTTTTTAACATTTTGTGTGTTACCTTTCTTTATTAAATATCATGTTCCTCGCACTTAAACCATAAGATCCAGTGCAACAACAATATCGCAAAATAGTTTTAAAACGAGCATATCTTTAGAATTTCCGATACAGAGACTCACGCGCTGGAGATAAAAATGTTTTTTCTGCACAACGTTGCCATTGCTCGCTTTGAAATCCTTGAGTTTGTTAATCAAAAATTCGTCAAAGTTTTAAAAAATAGGAAATCGATCATAAAACAAATTTCAAATTTCAAATTTGGTCTTCCACATGCTCATATTCGTTGGAGGATTACGTTATTCAAAATTCGATGACTCTATGTACCGTTGTTTTATCACAATACGAGAAATATACATACATTTATGCAGATTTTTAATTATTTAATTTCTTCAAATATAATGCAGGACTCTAACATTTTGTGGCAACAGTTTGAAAAGTGAACCGACATTTATGAGTCCGACGCGAAATGCCAAAACGAAAACTAATAGTCCTTCGGGATTCAAATCCCTTTGGACTAAAAAAAAACTCACGATATATTTATAATACTAGCTTACAGTTGGAAATATTAGCTTATTTGTTTCTAATTTATGTTCTCTGTACTTTTGTTGTATTATGTATAGTTTTTATCAGTTCATTTATTGAATTTTGTTTAATGATTTCAGTGTGTACCTTTGCTTAATCGGATTTGTGGACACTTCAGGGCTTATTTCATGTATTACGGGAACTATAACGACAATGAATACGTTATTTCTATTTCGCATTATTATTACCATATTAAAGAAAAATTTCAATTTTTACCTTCAAAATTATAGTTTTGGGAAGAAATATGGAAATACTTTTTAAACGGTAGGTTTCAAATACTTAATCACACGCTGGTATCCATAAAATCTTTATTTATTATATATTATATAATTTATTATATATTATATATTATATATCTTATTATATATTTTATCGCAGAAACAAATCACATTGACTTTTAAATATATATTTAAAAATCATTGAGCGTATTTTTATTTTAATACATAACTATAACATAAAAATTCAGAGAATATAACATAAATATTACATAAAAATTCAGAGAAAATTTTGGATGCAAGAAAATGTGTAAACTTAAATATATATACTGCATATATATATATATGTGTGTGTTCACTTACAAGTCAGTGAACACATGTAGATATATATAGAGAAAGAGAGATATATAATAATTTAAAGTTAAAAGTAAAGTGGAGTCAAAGCAATGCAATTCTTGAACAATATGGTGTATAAGAGTTTTAACACAATATCTAAAACAAAGCAAAATTAAAATAAGAATTCATAGTAGTACAAACTCTAAAAATAAAAATGAAAATGCAAAGTAGAAAAAATATACAAGATAGTAAAAATATAAAAATATAAATTAATCTCATTTTACTGAAACTCCAATTCAGAACTCATCAGGAGAAAATGAATTAAAGCTTTACAAAATTCGAGTAATATTTTTGAAAACGTCTTTCGTTCTACTGGTTCATTTGAGATCAAAAACAGAAAAGAATCTATTAAATTTTAAAACATTAAAATTCATATAAAACCAAAAAATCGAATCTCAAATGTACCAAGATTTTCCCCTACACGCCTTCGAAATACTTGGAAAAACGAATAAAACATAACATCATAAAAAAAAAAAAGCTTTATGTTATACAAAAAGACCATTAAAAATCCAAATTGATCTAAAATCATTATGCCAAATTTTGGGTGCAGTCTGTAAAAATTATTACTTACGAGGAGGGTGATCGTCGGCTCCAAAATGGCGGTGTACGAAACTGCTAAAAGATGCTGTCTTCTGTAAAGTCTCAAAACGCGAAAGCAGTACTGGCTCAAAGTTGAGGAAAAAGAAAAATGTATGTTAAAAAAAGTAGCTATTATCAGCTTTCTTTAGTGATTTCTTGTACCTGACTTTGTTGCAAATATTTTTTATTCTAAGGAGTTGAGTATGCATGGTTATAACTATTACTCCTTTGGAGACGTTAGATTATATATATATATATATATATATACTCCATCATAATAGATATATATATATTACTTACATTATACTGCACACATACATGTTCTCAGTTCTAGAAGACCAGAATGAAAATCATTTAAATTATCTGCCCAGATGCTTAGAAAATAAAAATGTAAATTATAAAATTCGTATATTTCCATATTTTTAAAATACATTTTTCAATTCCTTATTATATTGCTTAAAAATATTGAGATTTTAAAGTTGACAGGCCTTTCTTATTAGTGCTACAGTTATCTTATACAGCATTTTCACTTTTACAGTAACACGAATAAAATTTAGATATTACAATGTATTTAACTAATATAATGCAGCTTATTTTACTACTAATCATTTCAAAACAGCTTTCTAATTACAAGTAAAAAATTATGGATACTTTGCGAACAGATCAGTCAACTTTATAATATAGTCAACTTTATAATCGAATCAAAAATAATACATACAGTGAAATAAATCAGTGGCAGTCTTACTAATGCAGAAAAGTCTCAACAGCTCCTTCAACGGAATTACCAGAAGCAGAAGGAAAAAGGTGAGCTCGGAATGTTCCTTTTGCAGGTATGGAAATTCTGCAAGTTCTTTCACCAATAAATTGAAAATTTCTTTAGAATCAACCGTAAAATATGTGAGTGGCTAAGTTGGGCAACAACAAACAAACCCAATTCAACTGAAAAGTTTGATGTTACTTAGATGCCAACTCCTGGGCAGAAGAAACAAAAGGCGTGTGATTTTCCCTCATGTCTTTGATAAACATCGCATGCCAATAGCTGGAACTGACCGTTCTGTAAAAAGGAAAAGTACAGATTCTCTTCTTAGCAAATTTAAATGAAACAAAAGTTGATAAAGATGTTGAACAAAAAAAAAAAAAAAAAAAAAAAAAAAAAAAAAAAAAAAAAAAAAAGGACAACCACTATCATCTGCTTTTGTACTGCAGTGGTATCTAAAAAAATTACCAACCGTTCCTTTGAAATAAACAAACATACTCCTAAATTATGCCATTATCTGTTAATTTCTTCGTGGTTTTAGAGACAATGGATCTAAATTATGTCCATTCCCTCGCCTTCTTCTTCACACCTCAAATTGCAGTTCGCTCACAGTTTTAAAGAATCCAAATTAAAGAAATTCTCAGTTCCGTATCCTCAATTTCCATTAAGTTCTACTACAATGCGCTTTTAGAGGCAGTCTAGGTAACATTGTGGACCAAGGAATTTATATATAACTCTCCGAAAGCTCACCAGAGTCTCCTTAATAATCTGAATAAAAGATAAAATTGAAGTTAGCAAAATATTCCCCCGAAATATTTGCAAGAATATTTTCACACAAAGTTCTAGAATTCGGATTTCAGTTTCTCTTTAGCTAACAACTTTCCACTAAATATGTACCTTTTCTTAAGAGGATAATTTATGCCAATAATTCTAACTAAATTAGGCAAAGAAGATTCGCGAAAACTGAATTCAGTTTCCTAATGAGTTAATGATTTTAAGAACGATTCTTCCTTTTTAGAAATTCTGTAGTTATTTGTTTAACAGTTCTTACCTAAATAATGCTGAAATTTCTAAAACCCGTTGACGAATATCTTTGAGGATAAAGAAAATATTTCTGTCCAAGGCAAATAGCAACAGAATTTCATATTAAATTGCGTTTTTGTAAAGCGACGTCTACCTCGCCCGGTTGATAAAATTCCTACATCAGAAAGAGGAGGACAATGGACAGCAAGGGGAAGTTTTTCTGTGAATCCAATTTTTAGCTTCTCAGAGCAACACGCGTTTCTTTATGCAAGTAAAAGCAGGCTACCATTCTCATATTAATTAAAAACACGCTATCGAAAGATTGGCGAACTTTAGCAGGAGTGAAGCTCGGCGGAAGGAAAGATGCGGTGTTGAGATTAGTTAGAAGGTACTCAGTGGATGAGGCTTGAAATTTTTCGCTGAGTTGGCTTCTTGACTTGGCCCAAATGCTAGGACGTGTAATAAAGTCTCCCATAAAGAGTGATCAGCAAAATGCTATCCAGTAACTCGTTTTCCTCGTTCCGGACGTGGCTTGAAGATCTTTTCCCATGAAGACAGTTATTTTTACGGCCCTATTTTTGGACGTTTCTCGTCGATACTGAGAAGAAGGGTCTGTACTTCCTTTTACCCATTTCGGATGCATATTATGAAGGACTAAGTTCCTGAAGTATTCTATATGGCTAGTGCTATCATTGGTGATCTTCCTCGTAAATGCAATGCTTTAATTTAAAAGTATGTGAAATTTTATTTCGCATGTGTGTGTCAAATATATAATGAAAGTCTGTTTGTATTTAGGTGTATATCCAAATTTAGAATTGCTGACCTAAATTCGAGGTTGGATATTATAGTTTCAATAGGAACTTAAATCTGAGGTTTTTTCTCGTTGTTATAAAGAAAGTATATCTTAGAATCAATAAGTGTTAGCATCGCAAACTTTTTTCTTATTAAAAAGTAATAAATTTTACAGGTAATTATTTATTTTGAATATTTAAAGATTAATTTCTTATGACAATTTTGGTATTAACCATTCAAACATGTTAGTGGACTTCAGGCATAAAATTTTTTTTTAACTAAAAGCAATATTTTCTGTATTTCACCATTTAACATTTCTGTATTCCACCATTTAATAAGAAGAATAGAATAAATGATTTGTGTCATTTAAATATTGTGTTTTATTCTATGATTTACTAATCAGTGGTTAAGTCTAATCTAGTCTAACCAGTTGGTTATTCCAGTTCTACTCTTAGTTTAAAATTTTTCTTTTTTATTATTTTAATATTAACTCCTATGCAGAATTTCTTAAAAAATAAATATAGGAATAAAATTTTGACCTTTCTTTCGGCTTTAGTGCTTGGATCGAGCAATTTTAAAACAATATATAATAATTTTTATCTTTATTTTTGTAAAAAACGTCAATGTACATCTGACGGAAGTAAGAATATATGAATAGAATACATAGTACTCAGAATGTACAGGATATACAGTGCGTCTCAGAATTAATCAGTTTTAGAAAAGTGAAACTTTTACATGTCATTAATTATTCCGAAGTAGTTAATTTTTCTTACGGAGAGAGTTTTCTAGTCCATTTCAAGAAGAACTATTTATTTTTATTTCTTTACTTCAATAACAGGTGTATATTTTAGGCAATTGCACGTATCATATATTACAAATAATAACACGCATCCTTAAAAATTTGCATAAAATTATAATCGCCTGCAATCTAAGTTATGCTTAAATTAGTAAGTTAACTTTTATAGAAGATTTCCCCATTCATAAAAATCTTTTCCATTTTTCTTGTTAATGATCAAAATTATTTAACCGTACGTTAAGGAATCTGATTCTTTATTAGTTTCTGATTGAATTTTCTACCAAAGCACGGCTTTGGGAGGTTCGTTGTCATCAATCAAGTATGTATTTTAACTTAATCTAAATAGTTTCCTACAGCGATTTTCCTTCTCATAAGATCTGGTTCTAATTTTCTTACTACCAACTGAAGAAGAAGGTAAATTAAGCTCTTTGAAACGTATCTATCACTTATATACATATAACGCTTATCGTTTTTGCTAAATGTTTCTCGATTTCTTATTAACTTATTTTGGTGCATGTCATTTAATATCAACCTTAACAAAAAGTAACGTTCTTACTTCTTTCTTCCAACTTATTTAGTGTTCACCAGCGGCAGAGCGTAAAGTAGCTGAACATTGATAGTTCAATCTGGGTTTGATTTCAGGCTAACGAGCTTCATGCATGGCCATTTGTTTGGCTTTTCTCATGTCTAATGTAGCTCGTTGCCCTTAAAAATTCCTCCACGAAAGCATTCCTGCCGCTAAGCAGATAGACCTAGCATACTTTGCAATAACCAAGTAAACCAAAAACCAATTCATCCTACTCATGTTTCTTCAATACACTCCCAGGCCCACCAGTGACTGAGTGGTTAAAACTCCTGAATACAGAGAATTCGACCCGGGTTTCATCCCAGAAAAATGAACTGGCTGCATGGAACTGGCTGCATTCGTGGTTTTCCTCATGCGTAAAGCAACTACGAGTAGGTTTCCCTTAGAAAATTCTCTGTGGAGGCATCCTTTCTCCTAACCAGTTAGCCACCGTGTGTTTTACCCTATTCAGTTAACTTTATTCTCAGATTAAATTTGGTGGAGGACAATTTTTCACAAAATGAGAAATCATTTTCTGGGAGAGAAGGAAGAGTTTAAGGAAGTAAAGCTTCCTTCCGCGTATTCTTGTGGTGTGATGGTCAGTACACATCACTAAAAAATTCGAGATTGAGCTAATAGGAATATTTCTGACAATACTTCCCTATCAGTTCATTTTTTCTTCCAAAATTACGTTTTTGACCTTGGTTTTAACATAAATGCCTTGAACAGAAGCACTAGAAGAACAGTTTTCCTGTTAGTATAGAATTTCAGTAAAGTGATAATACTCCTCTGTTATTATCATTTAAAAAATCAAAAATTAAAAATAAGTTGAAATTCCTTTCTAAGTAAAAATCATACTTTAGAAGTTAAAAAATGGGTATTAACGGATATAATATTTGAAATTCAATGTACGGAAAAGATTCTTCTGAATTACCTGCATCACCGCTATAACCTTTAATGTGTATCCTGTAATTTTTGTTCTCATCATCGATTGCAAATATGTCGTAAAGAGCAAAGCGGCTTATTCCATCTTTATCTGTGATATCGAATCGAACTGAATAAAGCCCCTCATTGGTTAGAGAAAATATGTTCTCGTTACCTGAAATAGAGAAGCAGAGGTTAGTCATACCTTTCCTTCTGTATTATACACTCGTTTAATGATCCTCTACTTTTACTTTTTATTATGATAGTACTGATTTACTTTTTATACTTATGATTACTTACGATAGTACTTTATAATATAATAGTACTGAAGAATCAATGAAGGAAACCAAGTTAAAAACTCAAAAGATTTCCGTGAAATAACAATTTTTTAATTAATTCACTGAATTATCACTGAAACACTGAAAACAAGATATTGGCATATAGTTTATATTTAGCAATAATAAACATTTTGCATCTTCGACACGTGTCTTTATTTTGCATTAGAAAAGCATTCGCAGCTGAATTTTCTTGAAATTTAGAGGTAAAATGCAACGTGTTATTCCTGTGCATAGCAAAGGCACATACTGACTGACTGAAATGAAAATCATTACCTAGCCAATAATCATTATTGACGTTTCCAAATCCGTCTTTGTATTCTTTCCAATCCCTATAAAAGGAATCAGGAGAACTAAATCCTTTTCCTCTTCTTTGTATAATCTGAAAAAAAAAAAAAAAAAAAAAAAAAGAAAAAAAAAAGCATATTTATGCAATAAAATGAACTTATTAAAGGAATATTAGCAAGAATCCAGTTGAAAATAAAATATTATTCACAGGAACACATATACACATAATACATGTCCGTTAGGAAAGCATGTGAATAAATAAAATTTTTATCAACTAAATTTGCTGTCAAATTTTCATCGACGGCAATTTCTGTGAAAAAAAAGATGAACTTCTCCTCAAGCACTTTACAGCACTTAACCAACGAAAGTTACTATGTAAAAGCAGATCTCCATACTCAGTTTCCAATTCATCCAAAAGTGTTTTAAATTTTCGGTGTGTAAGAGAACGATTTCCGCCTCGAATTAAATTAGTAATTTTGCAAACCTTGTCCATTACGTCTTTTAGTCGTAGGGATAAACCACATAATGCCTCCTGATGGATAATACAGTGTAACATACGACATGCTCTTCCCTCTTTTTGCAAAAGTCCCGCGAGTTCAATATTTTTGCCCGTCATAGCTCTAGAACCGTCGGTTGCAATAGCAGTGCACTTGTCAAATCCGCCATACTGCTCTACTGAATATTTTAATTGTTTGTAAATGTCTTCACCTCTTGCTATTCCGTGTAATCATTGTAATTTTAAAAGTTCTTTTGAATAAATATAGTTTTCATTTACAGTTCTTATAAAGATAAGCATTTGACGTATCGGAAATGTCTGTGCTTTCATCCAGTGCTACCGAAAAATAGCAGCAACTATTGATTAGATTTTCTAATTTATTAGTGACATGCATGCTAATCTCGTATATATGTCGGCTTACAAGTCTGGTGAGAAAGTGATACTGTTTGCAATTTTCTTACCATTTCGTTGTCATTAAATGCTTGAGCCATTTTTATGGCACATTTTTTAATGAATTTTCCATCCAAAAATGGCTTCTTTGCCTTTACTATTTCTAAACAAACTTCAAACGATGCAGCTACAGATGCTTCTTGAAATTTTGGTTCTTGATTAAAATAAATCGTTTGATGATCCAGCTGCTTTTTCGTTTTTTTCACTAGTGGTATTTCCATGTCTCGCGTGTACGAATGATACTTTTTTTCATGCATGGAAAGATAATGGCGTTTCAAGTTATATTCTTTCCACAGAGCTATGATTTGTAAACATTCCAAACACTGTGGTTTACCATTCTTATTCAGAATAAATAAATAATCTATCTCTCAATCTTGAAATTCTCGATTTTAAAGGTAAAATTTTTTCTTTTATTAGTAGCACTCATATTCAATAATTATTTTAATTAATAAATAAATATGAAATTAAGTTAATAATATTATAACACAGTCACCCCTCAACAAATTCTAGACAAGACTGCACTCGCACGATTGCATGAATCAACCAAATAGCGCAAGGTAGTGTGCGCATCACGTGTGTCAACCATAGATAAACAACAACCAACCACAAATATAATATGTGGCGCCAACGTTGAGTCAACCATCATCAGACGTTAAACGGATTACTGCTGTATTTAGCCAGGTTAAGTGAAGTTACGCAAACTGAATAGTACCTACTTTAAATTCAAATTAGATTTAAATTTTCAAAATATATAGTAAATTTATATATTTAGTAAAATAATTTAATATTAATAATAATAATTTAGTAACATAAATTTATTCATAGTAAAATGTACACTCGGGCCGTAAAAATAATTTGGCGGGCCGCCAGTTGGACAGCCCTGCTGTAGGAAATAAAATATTTTTATCTCCAGCGCGCGAGACCATCTTTCAGAAATTCTAAATATTCATTAAGATATGCTGTTTTAAAATATTTTTAGTACAAATGTGGCGTTATTCCAAATGCTATCGAAACGTATAGGTGTCTTTAAATGAAAACAACGCCTGTTTGGGCGTCATATAAACTCTGAAAGCCTTCAGATTTATATATATATATATATATATATATATATAAATATATACACATTAGCATTAACCATGAAATACCAACCGTGAAGCCACCAAGAACCTAAATGAAAATCTTTCACTTGCTAAGAGCTTAATGCCCTGCCCGCTGCGTAACAAGAAAATCAAGAGAAATATATCCCTTCATTCTCTACAACCCCTAAGTTTGGAAAATGAATTAGTTTTACATACCGCAACATTATTCCAGAAAAAGCTCTTTTCAATGACACACTTGCTATTACTTTTGACAAAAATATTTTTCATTAAATAACGGTAATTCTCTAATAAATTACGTTAATTACGTTACGTTATTTACGATTACGTTAATTCTCTAAATAAAATCAAAGAACTGTTACATAGGTTATTCCAATACACATATTGTACTACCGTATCTATGTATTTAATTGTATGATCTTATTCAGTAACTCTGTTCATTACTATTATATTAATTACAGAAATACATAAATCAAGCTTACCGTCCATCCTCCTCCATCCGTCTCCATATCGCAATATACTTCAAGAGATCTACAGGACGAAAGACGACATCGTGGCCATATAGTATACACACCGCTAGTATTGTGACCTTTTATTCTGAGGTCATAGCAGTCTATTGGCTTTTCAGCCAGTTTAATAATATTCTCATCTAAAATATAAAGCAATGTGTTTTATGAATTATCCTTTTAATCGAAAAATAAGTGAGAAGTAAAATTTTCAATTCAGTTTCGTTCTTACTGACATAATTTTAAAGTTTCAAATTGTAATTAAATCATGTCGTGTATACATATTTTAAGGAAACTTTTAAAATATTTGCAAGTAATTTCGCTTGAATCAGGAGCCCAAAATTGTTATTTAGTCTTTTTTCTGAAAGTCATATGAGATTACATGCATAATACCAGCTCTATCATCAGACGGAGTTTGATGAAATAACTGGTATTTTAACTAGTATCTGATGGTCTTTAACTGGTATTTCTGTTATGACCGATATTTTATTATCGTTTTCCAATTTTAATCGTACGAAATGTAATCATAACTCAATAGATGAGAAAATCTCTACGAGACACCAGTGATATAGAAATCATTTGCAGAGTTTATAAGGTATTTCTCCCACTTCCCTAGCGTGCCTTCGTGATGTAACGGTAGCACGCTGGGCCGGTATTCCAAAGGTCCGTGGTTCGATTCCCGGCGAAGGCGGTTGCATATTTTTCATCTTTTCTGCTTCCAATTAACCTAATGCCTCTACAAGTGGCGTCCGAACTAAAAAGGGTTGTGGATGATGACTCTCCGCACCCAAGATTTGGCGACTAGGTCCCCTAAAACCCTAGTCGCCCTTTAAGAAGGAGAGTATATAAGGTATTTCTCGCACTTCCCTAGCGTGCCTTCGTGGTGTAACGGTAGCACGCGGGGCCGGTATTCCAGAGGTCCGTGGTTCGATTCCCGGCGAAGGCGGTTGCATATTTTTCATCTTTTCTGCTTCCAATTAACCTAATGACTCTACAAGTTGAGTACTCTTTAATATAAAAATTCAAGTTGTCTTCCCAAAAATATGTTCTTGCAATATGTTTTAATATTAGAGCTTACATATTATTCATGTAATATGTCTGCATGCTTTGATTAACCTGTCTTAGAGGATGGCATGATAGTCAGGACAAGCGATGTGGGTTATTCAATAAAGTAACCTAAAACCACATTCACAAAATGTAAAAGTTATATTTCATGTTTTAGATGTCAAATGTTTAACGCGGATATTGTATTGATATTTAAACCTAACCAATAAACAGGTCTACGATGTAGAATACAGCTAGCTTTCTTCGAAGCTGTCGCAAATGAATTGGAGTCGAAATACATTGTATAAAATTACCACAAAGTTTAGTGCTACCTAAAAGTAAAGCAGTTTTTAAAGGACTTTTTGTTGCTAATTACTCTTCGCAAGATTTAGTAAAGGAAAAAAGTTTCAGGTTCGTTTCTTACACGTCGTTGTGGAGATCAGTGGTAAATTTGCTGAGGAGTTGGCACAGCTCTCCTTGTTAAACGCTGCATTCCTCACTATCAAATAACAATTCCACAGCTGCAGTCATGAAGCTACAGCTATTTCTATCACAACAAACACAAGCACAACATACATGTTTATCTCCATTTACATGCCACCATCAAAACTCCGTACAGCTGTTGAGGCTGATCTCAACACATTACTCACACTTGGCACACACATAATCGTAGGTGGAGACTTAGACACCACGCGTGGAACTGTTATAATTCTAACACAATTGGCAATGTTATATTCAATTTGGCCCACCGTATCCCTTTCCAGAAAGCAGCTCCAACTACAACAACAAGGTATACTACTAGATCCACCGGTATCTTAGACTTTTTCTTACTCAGAAACACCAGTGTTCCGCTGGATGTTTCTGTGTTGGGCGATTTATCTCCCGACCGCAATCCGGCCCGTTTGGTACTAGATATCAGTAGTTATACTACACCAGTCAAAAGATTCTTTAAAACTGATTAGCAATATTATACCAAAGCTCTAAACAACATCCAGTACACTATCCCAATGATACACTCAGGCAATAACATTGATAATTTAATCAAGTAGTTTACCGGTTCAGTGCAAAATGCTTACAAAAATGTTCAGAGAGAAGTGAAACAGCCTATATTTGTCAGATCCAAGGAACTTAACCAGCTCATCAAAAAACGCAATGTTGCCAGGAGGCAATTTCAGAGAACCAGATCCAGGCAGTACAAAATCACCTTTAATAGGCTGTGTGACGCAGTCAAGTCTCGCACTAATTTTTATTCACAACTCCACTGGGATAACTACCTGGAGTCCCTCTCTGGGGATAATAACTCTATATGGTTAGCGGTCAAAAGGTTCAAAAAAGGCCACAACAACATTCCTTCCCTTAAAGGCCCTCAAAGGATCCATTACACAGAAACTGCGAAAGCAGAACTTTTAGCACAGCACCTGGAATCTCAGTTTCGCACAAACAACATTTATGATTCCACAACACAGCAATTAATTTTGGACTTTCACAACAACTATGTGACAAGCCCACACACAGACAATACGATCTGAGTCATGCCGTCGGAGGTCTGCTCGTATGTAAAGAAGCTGAAAAATAACAAGAGCCCTGGGTACGATGCTATTAGCAACAGGATGATCAAAAGATTCCCAGTCGAAATCTTACTTTACTTTACAAAGATTATCAACCTCTTACTCAGATAGCAGCACTTTCTGGAAAGTTGGAAGTTGGCTCAAATTACGCCGAATCTGAAACCCAAGAAGCCGGCAAGTTCACCAGAATCCTACCGTCGATAAGCTTATTGTCCTCCACCTAGCAAAATTATGCAGGTACTACTCAACAAGAGCAACCAACATCTGGAACAAAATAGTATATTCATACCTCACCAATTTGGGTTCCGAAGCAGACATTCGACGGTCAATCAACTATATCGGGTTGTGGAACTCATCAGGTAAGGGCCGCAGAACAAGAAAGTTACAGGAAGTCTGTTTCTGGATACAGCAAAGGCTTTCGACTGCATATGGCTGGACGCACTCATTTACAAACTACAAACCGCTGAGTCTGCTTGGACCCACTTTATTCAATATTTACGTGAACGACATTCCCACCACACAAAACACAACACTTGCAATGTATGCAGACGACACTGCGATTCTCTCACAAAGTGCATTCATTAGCCCAGCAAGACAACGATTGCAAGACTACATAAACATACTCGAGACTTGGCTGACAAAATGGAAGATCAAGGTTAATGTAGATAAGACTCAAGCAATCTTTTTTACAAAGAAGAACAAATTCAATAAAAACCTGCAACTTTACGGAGAAGATATCTCATGGGCCAAGCAAGTCCTTTATCTTGGAATGACCCTCAGTAAAATTCTCTCATGGTACCCGCACATAACATTTATCCTTAAAAAGATTCGAGTTAGTAAAGCTACACTTCACCCCTTAATTTCCCGAAACAGTGTACTTTCAATAGATAACAAGTTGCTTATTTATAAAACTGTAGTGCGTCTTATACTACACTGGTGTGCAAAAATTAAGGACGAAGTCGAAAAATTAGCATATCAGCTGAACGAAGAGGCAGAGCGGACAGAAAGACCAATCAGGATATTAAGTAAGGTGATGTACGGTAGCACATGCGCACATATGCAGGTAGACGTAATGGGTGTCTGAGTAGTATAAAGCATGTTGTCGGTGTAAGATCAGTATTTCTGGCAAAGAGATTGCACGCCGTATAGCAGTTAAAATCACACCGAGTTGCTGCCTCAGCGAGAAATGGTGAATAATCAATCTGTTAGACGACATCTGGATGCTTTTACCCGAGGTCGAATCATTGAGAAGTTGAAGGAAGGCCACAGTGTGACAAGTGTGGCTGCAGAGTTTGGAATTGCTCACAGCATCGTTTCACGACTTTGGAGACAAACTACAGGAACAGCCATCCGGGGGTTTAGTAGTGGTCGTCCACGAGGAACCACACCCGCAGATGACCGGTATATTGCCTTACAGGCCAGAAGAAACAGGCGGCAGACAGCAGGAGAAATAGCTAGACACACGACACAGGCGACTGGACGACCGATATCGCGTTTTACCGTGGCCAGAAAACTGCACGGTGGTGGTCTGTTTGCACGACGCCCTGTACGGTGTGTACCTGTAACGCCTGCCCATCGGAGAAGGCGTTCTCTGTGGTGCCGGGAACACCGAAATTGGAGAGACAGTGAATGGGGACGAGTACTCTTTACAGATGAGAGCAGATTCAGTCTGAGTAGCGATTCTCATCGCATACTCATCTGGAGAGAGCGGGGAAGCCGCAATCATCCCTCGAGCATCATTGAAAGGGATAGGTATGGAGGTGGCGGTGTTCTCGTTTGGGGAGGCATCATGCTTGGTAGTCGTACAGACCTTCACATCTGCGACGCAGGTTCAGTCAACGGGACCCGTTATTGTAACGAGATTCTTCTTCCATATGTGCGTCTTTTTAGAGGCGCTATGGGTTCGCAGTTCCTTTTCATGGACGACAATACACCATGTCATTGCTCAGTAGCTGCCGAACAGCTCTTAGAGAGTAAGGATATTGAACGTATGGATTGGCCGGCATGATCTCCGGATCTCAATCCCATCGAGCATGTATGGGATTTTCTAGGCAGACGCTTGGCAGCTCGTACCTTACCACCAGTAATGATTCCGGAGCTTCGATTGGCGCTGCAAGACGAATGGGCAGCAATGCCTCAATAACTCATTGACACCCTCATTCTCAGCATGGGCAGACGCTGTGAAACCTGCCTAGCAGTCAGGGAAGATCATATCCCCTATTAAAGACCGTATGTTTCTTGCTGGACACCCATCACAGGGATGTTTCGGCCTTCAGTCGCATTGCGCTCCATGCTACTCTTTCAATAAAGCTTCTTTTTATCCCTCTGATTTCTCTTTTAGTAAGTGTTGCTTACATTACTTATGTCCTTACGTATTGGGGATCTTACGGTATTAAATGTATTGATTTGGAAAGCTTTTGTACAAAGTTAAAAAAAAAAAAAAAAACAAAAAAAAAAAAAAAAAAAAAAAAAAAAAAAAAACAAAAAAAAAAAAAAAAAAAAAAAACAAAAAAAAAAAAAAAAAAAAAAAAACAGTGTATGTTATGCCTGCCCGGTTTGTGCACATTCATGCAAATCATATAAGAAAAAGTTACAGCAGGCACAAAATTGTGTCCTAAGCCA